AGAAATCACAAGCATTCCTATACACCAATAACAGACTAACAGAGAGCCAAATCAAGAGTGAACTCCCATTCACAAATTGCGACAAACAGAATGAAATACATAGGAATACAACTAACAAAGGATGTAAAGGGCCTCTTCAAGGATAACTACAAACCACTGCTCGAGGAAATAAGAGAGGACAAAAACAGATGTAAAAACATTCCATGCTCATGGTTAGGAATAATCATTACTGTGAAAATGGCCATACTGCCCAAAGTAATTAAGGTTCAACACTATCTCCATCAAGCTACCTGTGACCCTCTTCACAGAACTGGAAAAAACCACCTTAAACTTCATATGGAACCAAAAGAGAGCCCACATAGCCAAGACAATCCCAAGCAAAAAGAACAAAGCTGGAGGCATCAAGCTACCTGACTTCAAACTGTACTACAAGGCTACAGTAATCAAAACAGCATGGTACTGGTACCAAAACAGCAACATAAACCAACAGAACAGAACAGAGGCCTCGGAGACAACGTCACACATCTACAACCATCTGATCTTTGACAAAACTCACAAAAGCAACGGGGAAAGGAATCCCTGTTTAATAAATGGTGTTGGGAAAACTGGCTAGCCATGTGCAGAAAGCAGAAACTGGACCCCTTCCTGACACCTTACACTAATATTAACTCCAGATGGATTAAAAACTTAAACATAAGACCTAACACCATAAAAACCCTAGAAGAAAACCTAGGCAAAACCATTCAGGACATAGACACAGGCAAGGAATTCATGACTAAAACACCAAAAGCATTGGCAACAAAAGCCAAAATAGACAAATGGAATCTAATTAAACTCCAGAGCTTCTGTACAGCAAAAGAAACAACCATTAGAGTGAACTGGCAACCAACAGAATGGGAAAAAATTTTTGCAATCTACCCATCCGACAAAGGACTAATATCCAGAATCTACAAAGAACTAAACCAGATTTACAAGAAAAAAACAAACCCATTCAAAAGCGGGAGAAGGATATGAACAGACACTTTTCAAAAGAAGACATCTATGAGGCCAAAAAACATATGAAAAAATGCTCATCATCACTGGTCATTAGAGAAACGCAAATCAAAACCACATTGAGAAAGCACCTCACTCCAGTTAGAATGGCGATCATTAAAAAATCTGGAGACAACAGATGCTGGAGAGGATATGGAGAAACAGGAACACTTTTACACTGTCGGTGGGAGTGTAAATTAGTTCAACCATTATAGAAGACAGTGTGGTGCTTCCTCAAGGACCTAGAAATAGAAATTCCATTTGACCCAGCAATCCCATTACTGGGGATATAGCCAAAGGATTATAAATTGTTCTATTATAAAGACACATACACATGTATGTTCACTGCGGCACTGTTTACAACAGCAAATGCCCATCGACGATAGACTGGACAAGGAAAATGTGGAACATATATACCATGGAATACAATACAGCCATAAAAAAACAATGAGTTCTTGTCCTTTGTAGGGACATGGATGAATCTGGAAACCATCATTCTCAGCAAACTGACACAATAACAGAAAACAAACACTGCGTGTTCTCACTCATAGGCAGGTGTTGAACAATGAAACCACATGGACACAGGGAGGGGAGCATCACACACTGGGGTCTGTTGGGGGGGCCAGGGGAGAGGGATGACATGGGGAGAAATGCCAGATACAGGTGACGGGGGGATGGAGACAGCAAACCACATTGCCATGTATGTACCTATGCAACAATCCTGCATGATCTGCACATGTACCCCAGAACCTAAAGTACAATAAATAAATAAATAAGATATATTTATTTATTTTTGATTTTTCTTTTATAGAGACAGAGGTCTCATTATATTGCCTAGGCTGGGTCTCGAATCCCTGGGCTCACGGGATTCTCCCACCTGACCTTCCAAATTGCTGGAATTACAGGCATGAGCCACCATGCTGAGCCCAACAAGATATATTTCATAAACCTGAAAATGAATTACATTTTTAAAATATAGTATGAAAGGTTTTTTTTAACTTATTGATAAACATTATTTTCTATTTTCAATAAGATTGCCAAATATGCCCCACACCTCAGCCATTTTTTTCTTTCCTAATACTTACCTTTGTCTGTTTCTCATTGCTTTCAGTATTTCCAAGTTTCCTAAAGTTATTATCAACAATCTTATCTTCTGCCTCATTATTGGTCATTGCCTGGACCAATAATTCCCAAAAGAAGCAGAACAACCCCTCAGGGACATTCTGAAAATACATGAGGCCCTGTTTGGTTGCATAATAATTTGAATAGGAGGGAGGGTATTTGGTGGATAGGTGATCCTAGAAGTCCTAAAATACGTGAGGCAATCCTGTATAACAAAGAACTGTTTGCATCCCTCAATTTTAAAAGATTCCACTGGACATTAAGTAGGTGAAAAGTTTATAATAATCTTAGTCCACAACTTTATAATATATAAATATATCATTATTACACTGTTTTAGTATAGACTGAATTTTCCACAAGTGCAACTGCCATGTAAATTGAGGGAGATTCCGTTGTTTTTTTCAAATTTTTATCAGAAACTGTTTGCCACTTGAGAAAAATAAGTTTGTAAAGGACAATGGTCCTTGTGCTATTTGAAAAGCCAACATATTACATTTGATAAACAATCTGCATTGGTAGCTGTCATATACACAGTGATTCTATGAATTGGTACAACATGCCAGCAACTAATAATTACTTCATTATGTGTTCTAATGTAGTAATGTTTAAGCATTTACATATTTAAATTGTAGACGTGTTAACATGTTATTTTCTGTTTTTTGTTTTTTTGAGGTGGAGTCTCACTCCTGTCGCCCAGGCTAGAACGCTGTGGTGCAACCTCGGCTCACTGCAATCTCTGCCCCCTGGGTTCAAGCAATTCTCCTGCCTCAGCCTCCCAAGCAGCTGGGATTACAGACATGTGCTACCATGCCTAGGTAATTTTTGTATTTTCAGTAGAGATGGGGTTTCACCCTGTTGGCCAGGCTGGTCTCGAACTCCTAACCTCAGGTGATCCTCCCGCCTTGGCCTCCCAAAGTGCTGGGATTATAGGCATGAGTCACTGCACACAGCTTGTAGACACGTTATTTTCTAATAAAATATTTCACCTTTATGTCTCAATTAAAGCATTATATTGATTACTAAAAGTTATGTTTAGGGGTATATTTTATTGTCTATGAATCTTCCTTCAGGATTTCAGTATATTACAGGAGATAGTTTGAGAATCACTGGCCTACACTTTAGCCTTCATGTACCTGCACTACTAAAGATGTTTCCTAACTGACAAGCTGGATTCTGCAAACTCTTTCCTCTTCCAATTAAAAATACCTACAGACCTGAAAATCACCAATATTAGTTCTATCTTCCAACTACCACAACTCCCAACTACCTTGAACGTCTGATACTGGGATTTTTACAACTCTCCACAAAAGGACTATTTCTACCTAATCTTGTTCAGCTATGTCACACACTGAACACTACCCAGGAATCCTTATTTTTAAGGAGTCAGCAAGTCATAGTGGAAAAAGTGTAGCATTTGGAATCATTGATCTGCCACCTACCAGGGATGATCCTGGACAAGTTACTTACAATTTTCTAAATCTCTATTGCCCCATTTTTTTTTTTCTTCATTGGAGACAGGGTCTGGCTCTGTCTCTCAGGCTGAAGTGCAGTGGCAAAATCATAGCTCACTATAACCTCAAATTCCTGGGCTCAAGTGATCCTCCAGATCTAGCCTCCCAAGTAGCTACCAATACAGGCTCATACCACCACACCCAACTAATATTTTTTATATTTTGTACAGATGGGGTCTCTTACATTGCCCAGGCTAGCCTCCAACTCCTGGCCTCAAGTTATCCTCCTGCCTAGGCCTCCTAAAGTGCTGGGATTACAGGCCTGAGCCATTTTTTATACTGAATGTTGAAATATTATCAGGCAACTGTGCATGTATCAGGCTAAAGAAAATACATTGTTAAAATTAAATCCACCTGTTTCTCTTAACATGGCTACACAAAACGTAAAAATACGTATGTGGCTCGCAATAGTTTCTGTTGGACACTTCCTTTTCCCAATTCTACAGTTCATCATGAAAACACTACTTGATGTTTCCAACTAGGCCCTGTTTCTAAGTGCCTGAGACTTTGGAGATAGTACTCCTGGTGTTCGAAACACTTTTTCCCCTTCTCTTTGCTGAATGAACTGCTTGTATTCATTCAGATCTCAATTTTCTTTCTTTCCTTTTTTTTATTTGAGACGGAGTTTCCGCTCTTGTTGCCCAGGCTGGAGTGCAATGGCGCAATCTCCGCTCACTGCAACCTCCACCTCCAGAGTTTAAGCGATTCTCCAGTCTCAGCCTCACGAGTAGCTGTGATTACAGGCGCACGCCACCACGCCCGGCTAATTTTTTGTATTTTTAGTAGAGACGGGGTTTCACCGTGTTTCCCAGGCTGGTCTCGAACTCCAGATCTCAGGCAACCCACCCGCCTCCACCTCCCAAAGTGCTAGGATTACAGGCGTGAACCACCAGGCCTGGCTGAGATCCTGATTTTTAACTACAGCTTTCTCCAAAAAGCGTCCCCGATCCCACCACGTCCCCTGCAAGACGGGAGTAGGGCCTCCTGTGAGAAAGGAAAATCCACACACAGCACTTGCCGCACCGTATTTGCAATCGCCTATTTTTTTGGTTTGTGTCCCAGGCAAGACTGGAAGCTCCCTGAGGAAACAGATCCTCAGAACTGCTCCGTGTTCCACACCCAGTCGTCACAGCCAAGCACAAAGCGGTCTCTCCGCTGAACAAATGAGCGCCAGGACACAGACAGCTGAGCGAATGCGGGGGAGCACAAGGGTTCAAGGGGGAGGCGGTAGGGAGGGCTGAAGCAGAAACTGGAAGGGGGCCCAGGAGGACGCCTGCTGGGCAGACCCGGGCAGCCTGGAGCCAGAGAGGGGTGGGGGCCTCTGGCAGGACTCACCAGTCCCTGCTGGTCGAGGTCGGCGTCGGGACGTTTGGCGGAGGGCGGCAAGTACTCAGCGTAGCGCAAACCCTCGCCTACCGGGGCGACAACACCACGGGCAGCCATGGCAGTACCGCCGGAGGGACTCAAGGCGCCGTGGCACCACCTACGAGGCAGCCAGAGGGACAAACTAGTTAGGGCGGTTTCTTCTCTCAGATCCAGCAGACTGCGCTCGCTTTGCTAATTAAGGCGGGGGTCGGCCCGGCGCGGTGGCTCGTGGACCAGGCGCGGTAGCTCATGCCTGTAATCTCAGCACTTTAGGAGGCCGAGGCAGGTGGATCAGCTGAGGTTGGGAGTTCGAGGCCAGCCTGACCAACATGGAGAAACCCTGTCTTTCTTAAAAATACAAAGTTAGCCATGTGTGGTGGCATATGTCTGTAATCCCAGCTACTAGGGAGACTGAAGCAAGAGAATCGCTTCAACCTGAGAGGCGAGGTTGCAATGAGCTGCACTCCAGTCTGGGCGACAAGAATGAAACTCTGTCTCAAAATAAAACAAACAAAAAGAATGGTAAGTTTTTGTTTGTTTGTTTTTGATGTAAGAGAGGAAATGCCATAAATTTCAACTGGAAACAAATGCAAGGAAATGAAAAAATGTGATTCATAGGACTGGGTCAAAAATACTCCAGGAATCTTCAGAGAAATAATCGCATTACAGAAATTAATTTTTGTTAAACGAATCCACAACTATGAAGGACACTAGTAAATTAGGCAAATAAATTGGATCACGGCCTACAGGTCATTCTTCCACTCATTTATTTATTCAATAAATATTTATTGAGTATCTGTTAGGTATAAGGAACGATGCTAGGCCTTGGACCTATAGAGTCAAACATACAAATAAGGTCTCTGATTCCTTGGAGTTTGGCGTACCCTAGCAGCTGGGCCCTAGCAGTAACAGGCTGCTGGCCTGGAACAAATGAACAATTAGAGCAAGACCCAGGTTAGCTTCAGCTCCTGTTAGGACAGCTGCTGCCCCTGATCAGGAACTGGAGAGAAGCTTTCAGAACAGAAGCCAAGAAAAGGGGGAATAGAAGAAGCGGGAAGGGGAGAATATAGCAAGGTGGAGGTGAGGCGGACTTAGCAGGGTTGCATCTCAGCTCAGACTTTTGAGAGCAGGTGGCTGGCTGCTTGTAGACTTGACTGACCTCGTTCCACTGCTGCCTCAGGTGTCCACTCCTACAGATGTAGCCAATTTTAAAGAAAAATCTCATCCACAAAGATTACTCAGTTCCCAGCCTTTGGTTCTTTGGTAAATTCACCCTCCTCAGCAAAGAAAGGATAGAAAAAAGGGCAATGAAGTCCTTTCCTCTCCCTCACAAGGATCTCTTCCTGATTTAGCTAAACTCATTTTCCTGGCTTCTACAGAACAAAGAAAAATACTTTTTGTGAAACCCAAAAGGGAGGCCACATTAAATTTTCATTGGCCTACTTTTATTAGTTATGCCACTTCAAAGACAGATTACATTATGTTCAATAGACTTTGTAAAAGAAAGGCAGATTGCATTGGTAATATGTCTTGGAAACATCTCAGTAGAAAATGTGTTAAAAATTTATTGTTTGGGCCGGGCGCGGTGGCTCAAGCCTGTAATCCCAGCCCTTTGGGAGGCCAAGGCGGGTGGATCACCAGGTCAAGAGATCGAGACCATCCTGGTCAACATGGTAAAATTAGCTGGGCATGGTGGCGCGTGCCTGTAATCCCAGCTACTCAGGAGGCTGAGACAGGAGAATTGCCTGAACCCAGGAGGCGGAGGTTGCGGTGAGCCGAGATCGCGCCATTGCACTCCAGCCTGGGTAACATGAGTGAAACTCCGTCTCAAAAAAAAAAAAAAAAAAAAAGAAAAAATTTATTGTTTGAAAGGACTTTTGACAAAGACAATTGACCTCTCTGTGCCTCAGTTCCATCATTAGTAAAGTAGGTGATAATAATGGCACCTCTCCTGTGAGGATTAAGTGAGTTCACTTTTGCAAAGCTCTTAGAACTGTGCTTGATACCTAGTAACTTCTACGAAATTGTCTGTTACTATTTTCTTTACATTACCTCTTTCACCGATTTATTTCCTTGAGTGTTTTCTCTCACTAGCTCTACCTCCTTCCCCCCACAGTTGTGTTGATCCCCAACCAATTGTCTTGTCTTCAAAATTACAAAATCTGATTAACATTGCATAGTGATAAAATAGAATTGTGGGAGAAGAAATAGTTGTTTTTATGAAAATGAAGTGCTTTGGAAAGATTTGATAAAACCAAGTTTTTTTTTAAAAAAAGCTGTTGAATGTTGAATATCAGAAGAGAATCACAAATACTATGATCCTGTATGTTTTTTTAAAAATATCTTGCTCCACCTTCATTTTAAACAAACTCAAATTAGGAATCATAGAGGATGGGTTATCAATGGGGAAGAAATCCAAGGCAGAACTGAACCAGAGCACCCACATCCAAATAAAAGGCCTTAGCCCTGTAGCCCTGCAGATACACATAGAGTATGTGAATAGATATCCAGTGTGTCTGCGTGACACTAAAATTTCATGTGGGTATAGGGAGTGTTATTAGGGAAAAAGTCCAAAAAAGCTTTTGGATGGAGATAATTAAAAAAAAAAAAAAAAAAAAATTGAGAAACAGCGATGTAAAAAAATGGTTAAAGTGACATATATATCATATATATTATATATATGATGTAAAAAAATGGTTAAATTGAGCCGGGCACAGTGGTTCACGCCTGTAATCTCAGCACTTTGGGAGGCCAAGGTGGGCAGATCACTTGAGGTCAGGAGTTTGAGACCAGCCTGGCCAACATGATAAAACCCTGTCTCTACTAAAAATGCAAAAATTAGCCAGGTGTGGTAGCTGGTGCCTGTAATCCCAGCATCTCGGGAGGCTGAGAAAGGAGAATCACTTGAACTCAGAAGGCGGAGGTTGCAGGGAGCTGAAATCGTACCATTACACACCAGCCTGGGTGATAAGAGTGAAACTCCATCTCAAAAAATAAAAACAAAAAAAGGTTAAAATATGTGGTATATTGTTATGATCTCAGATTTTAATTGGTTTTTCAATTAACCCACCAACCACTATCCTGGTCTGATCAGAAAAGAGGCTGGCTTTACTGTATGACAAAGTGCAGTGGACACCAAAAACGGACCTAAAATGTTCAAAGAAGGAGTCAGAGAAGCCAGCACCAAGATAACAATGGGAGGATGAAAACAAATTTGCTGAACTGATAAGGATGAGGCAGGCTTGGGGAAACAAGGTGTGAGAAAGCCTTGTATGTAAACAATACTACAAGTCATTCTGTTTTGCTAAAGCTTAAAGAAGAGACTGAAGATGGATGAGGACAGATAGCCAGACAAAGGCCAAGTATTGAACAGCCTTATGTAATAAGCAAAGGCATTTAGACTTTATCTTATAGGTGAAAGCAGGACATCAAAAAATGTAGAATCTGGCAGTGACATGATCAGATCTACATACTAAGAAGATCATTGCGGCGGCAATATAGGGGCCAAAGCAAAAAGAAGTTTTTGCAATAGTCTAAGAGATGCCGAGCCCTAAACTAGGGCAGTGACAGAAGATATGGCAAGGAGGAGTATAGTGATTTTAACTGGATTCTTCCCCACATTTAATCTCTCTTGGCCCCACCTACCAAGGACCCATCCATTGGCTTTGTCCCCTGTTCTCAGGGTGGCCCCTGATTGACCTAAGCCAACCAATGCATCTCATCACTCTAGCCATGATGTCTTTTTCATGAATAGACACTTTGCTCTTCTGGGACATTGGGATTATGAGAAAGGTTTGTTGGTTATTTTTGGGACAGCCACTTCTCTCTTTAGCTGGACATGAACAGAGAAGCGTGAAGCCCTAATTGTGGTTGGCAGTCTTTTGACAACCATAAACTAGGGTAACCATTTAATTTATCATCCAAAACAAGGTCACATTTGAGAGAAAGATAGTGCTATAAATAATTATGTTATGACAATAGATGTAACTGAGACTGTCTAGCAAACCAGAATATATGGTCCCTGTACCATGAGAAGAGATGGCCTCAGGATGAAGCAAACACCATTGAAAGCCATGGGAAAATTAAAAAGAAACTGGATCCTTGATGACATTGACTATATGAAGCTTCATTTGATATCTACCCCATTTCTAAACTTTTTAGTTATGAAAGAAAAATTTCCTTTATTATGTTTTTTTGAATTTTGTATTTAAAATTGCCAGCATTGAAGAAGTAGAAAGAATAGTATAATGAACCCCCATCTCCCAAAACCAGATTCAACAATTGTCAAGATGCTGCCACCATTCTTCATTTATTTTCCTTTTTCTGATTAAGTATTTCAAATATATCAAGAAATTTCACTCTGGACATTTGAGTATGCATTCCTGCCAAATACAGACAATCTTCTGACATACCTGCACCATGTGACAGCTAACAAAAATTACTGATAACCTTTTGTGTCACCTGATATCCAAATTTTATTGTTACAGAAAACTTTTAAATAGCTGGTTTGCTCATATCAGATCCAAACAAAGTCCACACATAGCAGTAGATGGTTGCTGTCATTTGAATGTCCCCTCCAGAACTCATGTTGAAACTTAACACTGAATGCAACAGTGTTGGGAATTGAGGCCTAATAGGAGGTGTTCAGGTAATGAGGGCTCCTTCCTCATAAAGGAAGTAATGCCATTGTCATGGGACTGGGTGAGTTGTTGGGTGAGTTGTTACAAAGCAAGCTCGGCCCCCCCTGCTTTTATCTTTTGCATGTGCTCACTTGCCCTTCCACTTTTCCACAATGGGATGATGCAGCCCAAAGGCCCTCACTGGACACCAGCACCATGCCCTTCAACTCCCCAACTTCCAGAACTGTAAGAAATAAAGTTCTTTTTCTTTAAAAATAGGGACGGGGTTTCACCATGTTGGTCAGACTTGTCTTGAACTCCTCACCTCAGGTAATCCACCCGCCTCGGCCTCCCAAAGTGCCGGGATTACAGGCGTGAGCCACCGCGCCCAGCAATAAAGTTCTTTTCTTTACAAATAACCCAGTCCATAGTGTTCTTTTACAGCAACAAAATCTAGATGAAGACAATCATTATGTCATATTAGTTC